GTGTTTTCCCACATTGGTAATATCTTGTATGGCTATAGTACAATATTAAAGCATAAAATTGACATTGGTGCTATCCATAGACCTTATCCAGATTCATTAGTTTTATGTACACTCATTTGTGTGTGTGTGTGTGTGTGTGTGTGTAATTATATCTATAATTACAGTTGACATTCATTATTATTCAACTTCATCTTCAGGTGTATAGCACATGGTCTGGCATCTACACCGTCCATAAAGTAATCTCCCTGATAAGTCCACTACCCATCTGGCACCCCACATAGTCTTTATAACATTATTGATTATATTCTCCAAACTGTATTTCATATCCCTGTGACCACACTGTGACTACTAATTTTATTCTCTAATCCCCTTCACCTTTCTTACCTATCCCCCAACCTCCTCCTATCTAGCAACTATCACTTTGTTCTCTGTATCTATGTGTTGATTTTTGTTTCATTTACTTATTTATTTTATTCTTTAAATTCCACTGTAAGTGAAATCTTTGGTATTTATTTATTTATTTATTTATTTATTTATTTATTTATTTTTAAAGATTTTTTTATTGGGGAATTTGGGGGATGGGAACAGTGTTGGGGAATTGGGGGAAGGGGAACAGACAATTTGCTGTCGTTTCGTTCTTCAGTCTAGTTGTGGAGGACGTTGCTTCACTGGCCCAAGTTGGCACCATCATTGCGCTCTTCCCGGTGAGGCAGATCAGTCACCGGCTTCTGGACGGCTGCTCACTGCAGCTGCTGGCTGCTCACACTGGCTGCTGGCTACACACGGTAGCCCATGGCAACCCACTGCCGCAGGGGCTGCAGCCTACGCCGTCGCCGGCGACTCACAGCAGCCCAGCTCCTGGTTGAGCTGTAGTTCAGCATCTTAGCTGTGGAGGGCAGTGTCACTGACCCTCATATGTGGGATCCGAACCGGTGCCCTCTGATGTCCCAAGCCAGTTCTTAACCATCGCGCCACTTGGCTGGCCCGGTATTTAGTTTTTTCAGTTGACGTATTTCACTGGCCATAATATCCTCTATGTCTATCCATGTTGTTGCAAGTGGTAAAAGATTTCCTTCTTTTTTATGGCAGAGTAATACTCCATTGTATAAATATACCACAATTTTTTTTACCCAACTGCCTATTGATGGGCATTTCAGTTTTTTCCATATTGGCTATTATAAATAGTGCTACAATAAACATAGAGGCACATATATTTCTTTGAGTTAGTGTTTTGTATTTCTTTGGGTAAATATCCAGAAGTGGAATTGCTGGGTCATAGGTAGTTCTGTATTTTTTTAATGTTAGTTTCAGGTGTACAGAACAATACAATAGTTATCCTTTTCACCCTCACAAAGCAAGAACCCCCCTCCCCCCCTTTACTGCCCCCCTACCC